GGAATTCTGGGAGTTGAAGTCCATACGTCTTAAAGCCGCTGAGATTGAGAAACACTGCTTTACAACAACCCCCAAAATAAGTCCAAAATGTTTGGCCCCGCTTGCAACTTTCTCTAATGGCATGTGGCAAAGATCTTGTGAGAAAGGGCCAAGAGATGCCACCTAGGGAACCGTCAGATAAGAGAGGGCACGGCCTGCAGCTGGACAGCGGGTGGGGCAAGAGGCTCAGGAGGCACCCTCCTCGCTTCCCAGACTGTAAAGGAGACGGTGAGAGATTTGTATTTGCAGACTTGCAAGATTGATGTCAGCCTCCCCAGGTAGACCAGACAGGAAAGACGACCAGATGAGCTAATTCTACTTTATTGTAAGGCTACATTAACAGAATCTTGCAAGTCGTAAAGTACAAAACTTCCGGCGTCTTCTTTACAGCCTGGGAGGATCCCTTCTGAGCCTTTCTCCACCCCTTATGCAGCTGTGGGCTGTGCTCCCTCTTATCTGCCCCGTTCCCTTGGCAGTATCTCTCGGCCCTGTCTCCCAAGGTCTTTCCCGCCCTGGCATACCACGAAGGTCAGGATATATTCTGGCTACCAGATTGGGTTGCAAAACTAAATAAACACCAGATGCCTGTACAGGAAGGTCTCTAACCCCCAGGGGTTTACTATCAAAACCACATCTGGGCAAAATCACCCCAGGAGGGGAAAGAGCAGTTCCTCGGATCGTTTGCTTGTCATAAATTAGCCGCAACGCCTCTGAATCAATCATAATAACGATACTGAAAGACAGTCGACTTGACAAAAATGCAAAGCCGGAGATCTGGAAGTCAGGAAGCTGGTTTCCTTAAAATTCAACCTCAATTTCGGTTAGAAATGAAACCATGGTTCCTCTCTCACCCATCTACACCTCCCTGAATTCCAGAAAGGTTCTCGGTCAGTGCAAATGGTTTTTGCAAACGACTGGCAGGTCGCAGATGATCCGGCCCGTGCACGGGCGATCCACCGGGATCGCGTCCGACTTTTGCGGAGGCGCCAGCGCGCGCGGCCTTCCCCGCGCGGGCACGTGCTCCCGGGCCTACCCCGGCCTTGCAGCCGAGGGGAAGAGAGAATGCAAGGCCTTCAGCGAGTTTGCTGGCCGGTCTCCGCCTCTCTTTGAGAAGATGCCATCTTGGCAAGGGGTGCCTTTATATTTTTAGGCCGCTGTTTTTTTTTTTACACCTCGCTCTTCTCTTTTCTATTTTAAGGCCGCGCACAGAATGCGCAAGAAAGCCGACTGCGCGCCTTTTAAAAAGGCTAGGCAGGGTTCTCTCCCCTTCTAGCGTTCGCCCCAAGCAGCCGACAATAATGCACGGGCCCAGGCCCCCTTTCCGCCCTGGGTGCCCTCTGCAAAGGCTCCGAGCCCCGAGTGGAGGCTTGCCGACCGGTTGCAACTGCGACGAGGGGATGCTTTGCAGCCAAGGGGACTGCGCGACCTGCAAGGCCGAACTGCAGACGGCC